TGTATGCCTGCAGGCCAGAAGAGGGCACCAGACCCCATTACAGATGGTTGTGAGCCACCATGTGTATTGAACTAAGAACATTTGGAAGAGCAGGCTCTTAATCTCTGAGCCATCTCTCCAGCTCCCAAGGAAGATTATTTTCTCCTAAAAATAAGTCCCCTTATTGGATGTCCTAAAGAGTGGGCAGCCTTGAAATCATATAAACAAACAAACAGCAGTGATAGACTCAGCAGGGTTTTTTTATTTGTGTGTGTGTGTGCCTGTGTGTGTGTGTGTGCCTGTGTGTGTGTGTGCCTGTGTGTGTGACAATAAGGCTAAAGGAAAATGAAGCTATTAAAGAGAGTGGGGACTATGGGAGGTGTTTCAGGAATGGTGGCTGGGAGGGGTTACAAGGACGAAAGTAAAAGAGGAAAATGATTGTTTCTATTTCAATTAAAATCATATTAAAAAGAAAAAAAAAAGAAAAAGGGAAAAAGAAAACACTTTAAGAAGCTACAGGTTCCCAAATTTTGTATTCTGCTGTTATCCTTGAAAAGTTAGAAGAATAGTGTTGATTGAAATAGGAAAGTTACCAAGTCACAAAAAATTTGGGGACTTAACACAGTGAAGTTATCTTGCGTGTGTGAAGGAAGTGTTTGCAGTGATTTCTAAAAGTCATAATTGCAGGAGTTTCTAGAATTTTGTTTTGTTCTCTTGATAAATTATTTGCAATGAATGACAACCCCTATTATACTTCAAGTGACTTTCATTAAGTTGACCACCAGCACCGAACACTTGCTCCTTCATGTCATCACTTCACTGGCTCTAACAAGAGTGTGGCTTCTAAGGCTCAGAGCTCACACATCTCCAGGACACAAACTGTTTTATCCTTTCTCAAGAACTGAACAACTAATGATTTAGACTATGAATTGCTTATAAGTAGTAACAGCCGTTTCTTAGTCTTGGTTTTCCTCTCCATATATCAAGATGCTTGATATGGAACAGGTTTTTAATAAATGCTTGTACTTTAAAATTGATTTTCAAAACTGCTTTATCCCGAGTCTCCAATGACTTTGTCCTAATACCTGTTAGTAATGAAGCCAGGTTAAAGTGGTAGCATAGGACTCACTAAAAATATTTTTTAAGCAAATTTTGGTTTGCCTTTGAAGTTCCCCAACCTTCAGAGATTCAATATGAAACCACTTACCAGGCCGGGCAGTGGTGGCGCACACCTTTAATCCCAGCACTTGGGAGGCAGAGGCAGGTGGATCTCTGTGAGTTCGAGACCAGCCTGGTCTACAGAGCTAGTTCCAGGACAGGCTCCAAAACCACAGAGAAACCCTGTCTCGAAAAGCCAAAAAAACAAACAAACAAACAAACAAAACAACAACAACAACAAAAAAAAAACACATACCAGTGTGGAAAACAGTGTCATGCTGTTGCCATAGTATATTGTGTTATAAAATCTGTTTCTAAAATGCCTGAATCAGAGATTTGGGTACAGAAGGAAAAAGTCAAACTCTTACTGAGTTTTATGATGTGTGGCATGTAGTAGAAGCATTGTCTATATTTCCACTGTATAACCTGTACTATTAAAAACAAAGAATTTTACCAGAGATATATTGCTTACTCCTTTAAAGGCTAAGATTATTACAGATTCCTTGCACTCTTTGAATGCATCTTTCCCTTTTTTTCTAAAGATTCAAAGTTTGCTTTATCAGAGATAGATATGAACATACAGTTCTACATGATGTCCTTGGGAATAATGTGAATTTCCAAAAAGGAAGTGCTTGGTTGAGAACATTGAGTTTCAAATTCTCTATAAAGAAATTTCTCTCCAGCTGTGGTGTTTCAGAGAAGTGCTTTCGTCCCTATACCTGAGTGTATATAGTTGCAGGGACAGTCACCCGATGTATACCTCTCACATGCCTGCTGGGGACAGCTTGTGAAGATACTGCAAATCCTCCTTTCCAATCTTTTCACCAATTCCTTTAAAATCTGTGTCTTATTGTTGTTTGTGAAAAGGTACACAATTATAATTTTAGCATCAAATGTTTTTCTATTATTCTTCTCATTGATTCAACTCAGTATCCAATTCAGCAGTACAAAGGAATCAAAATATGTTCCCCCAAATTAGGCACTTTTCTTCTCCAAACAGAAGCATTCTCTCTGAATGCACCTTGCTTTGATACAGTTTTCAAATAACTGGAGGAGTAATTCTTAGGGTGACCTGCCTATTGTTAATTCCCTTCAACTTTCCATCTTTCTCCCCCATTCTTGATGCTTCCCTCTTCTTTCCTTCTCAGTGTTAACCACAACAGAAGTGGGACATCTGCTCACAAAAACATTTAGATTGCTAATGATTCCTTTTAACATCTGTCGTACTGCTACTGAGCAGTTGTTGTTTCTTTAAGGAGACTCCAGGGACAAGACCTATGTCACCTTAATAGTGGGTATTTTTTGAAAGTTGTAAGCCCTGTACCTCTGGGAGCCATCCAGAAGTGCCACTGTGTACGTACATAAACTTAATGCTTCAAGTTCTGCAGTTTTTCTTTGTCTATTGTGATTTTTTTTTATTAGAGTACTTTGTGTCTGGTTGTTATAATATTTGCTTTTACTTGTCTTTTCACCCTGTTACTCATTATAATTTCACTTACAAAAGCAAAGATACTAAATTCAAAATAAATTTCATATCTTCCATTGTATTGTCTGTGAACCTTTTATAAAAAATTCAAGTAGATTTTTTATACCAATAACTCAATCTGTTTGATAATTCATAAAAAATTGAATAAAATACTGACTGGAGTCATATTTCTATTTCCTTTTCACTCAATGTATTGTACTTATTCATAAATGCTTTGCATGAGAAAGAGTAAAAATTATTTACTTTTCAATTTTTCTATCCAAATTATCCTGAAAATCTGGTCCTATTTCCATACTGCAAATACAAGAATGTTTGCCCAACATTTGGGCTACAGGAATAAGAATATACTGGTGAGAAAAATATGTTTTTTACATATTAATAAAATTAATAAAAATAACCCTCTGTTAATTGGACATAGTGGTGATCTATCTGGAAGAATTTTTAGAAAGCCATGAGTAATATAACATCAGAAACACACCCAAACACAAGGTGGAGATAGCAGTGCTGCTCTGGTTTATTTTCCACTCAGTTTCAGGTTTTAGCAAAATTTAATATCTTCAGGACTTTGCTCATTTGAGTTTTATTTCTCAGTTGTGCTCTTGTATACACATATGTTATAGGTATATAGCAGGTGGTGACTTCTCTCCTATTGCAAATAGTTTTTCTATTCTCATTGTCTTTAATCTGTAAAAAGCCATATTGCAACCTCTGGTGGATGAATCAATTATGACGCTAGTAGCAGTTTTAAAAAAAGATCAACCAGTGTCTTTACAGGAATAGATATATTTATAAAATTATAAAATATCTTTTACTTTGCATGATAAGTGAGCACTCTAAGATCAATACTATAAATTGAAAATTAGTTTTCTTCTAATACTTTAATTCATAAGTTGTAGCTTTTAAATAAATACCGTCATAAAACTTCAAGTTAAATTCAATAATAACAACATTAAAGAAAATAGGACCCAAGTTCCTTCATTTTTTTTTTTTTTTTTTTTTAGATAAGCATAGGTTGGGCATAAGTTCTCTGACATTTTAGATGTTCTGCTAAAGAGTTTTTTTTTTCCAAAAACTTAAATCACTCATTGTCTATGAATCCGACAAAGTGACAGCTGCTCTGACTACATGTTTCCTCTGGGACGAGGCAGGTGATTTCACGTCAAGGCACAGAACTTAAGAACAGAATGGTATCGGCTCCTCTTTCCTTCCTACTTATTTTGGGAGGAATATCATATTGCTACTTTAATAAGCATTGGATTTAAGCAGTTGTAGTCAGTGAATATCCACTGGCATAAAAGAAATAATGGCTTTTTCTTTTCTAAAAGAGTTTATTTAATTTTTATCCGATGTATATTTGTTCAGGAAGCATCAAGTCAGTTGTCCTCATCAGCTTAGACTATGAAAACCCAAGGCGAACAATTTCAAAAGACCCTCCATATACGACATGCTTTAGCATTGCCAGGGCATAAATTTCAACTTTTAAAACTTTCTATGTATTTTGGTCATTTGTCGGCATGCATGTCTGTGTAGAGTTGTCATATCCATTGGACCTGTAGCTCCAGACAGTTGTGAACTGACATGTGGATGCTGGGAATTGAACCCTGGTTCTTCTGAAGAGCAGCCATATTTGCAGCCCTAAATGCTACTTTTTCCCTAGCTCCTACGCTCACATAGAGGGCTTTAAGAGAACACAAATGAAAATACGGCGTCCAATATCTGTTATTGAAAGTCTTCTGATTCCAAGAGTGTATGACAAACAATTAGAATATGGATGAAGAAAGTGTGGAATATATACACATTAGAGTACTATGCTGCGGTAAAAAACAATGACTTCTCGAATTTTGCATGCAAATGGATGGAAATAGAAAACACTATCCTGAGCGAGGTAACCCAGACCCAAAAAGATGAACATGGGATGTACTCACTCACAATTGGTTTCTAGCCATTAATAAAGGTCACGGAGTGTATACCTGTTGAACCTAAAGAAGCTAAATAAGAAGGTGAACCCAAGAAAAAACATATAGTTATCCTCTTGGCTAAGGGAAGTAGACAAAATTGCCGGGGAGAAAATTGGGATCTTGGGGGTGGGGTGGGTTGGGGATAAGGGGGGACAGGGAGAGAAAAGTGAGAAAGGGAGGATTGGGGGAACTTGGGGAAACAGGAAGATTGGGATAAAGGAAGGTTGGATAGGGGAGCAGGGAAGCACATATCTTAGTTAAGGGAGCCACCTTAGGGTTGGCAAGAGACTTGAACCTAGAGTGGCTCCCAGGAGCCCAAGGCGATGTCCCCAGTTAGTCCCTTGGGAAGCTGAGGATAGGGAACCTGAAATGACCCTATCCCATAGCAATACTGACGAATATCTTTCATATCACCGTAGAACCTTCATCTGGTGATGGATGGAGATAGAGACAGAGACCCACACTGGAGCACTGGACTGAGCTCCCAAGGTCCCAATGAGGAGCAGATGGAGGGAGAACACGAGCAAGGATGTCAGGACCACGGGGGGTGCACCCACCCACTGAGACAGTGGGGCTGATCTATTGGGAGCTCACCAAGGCCAGCTGGACTGTGACTGAAAAAGCATGGGATAAAACCGGACTCTCTGATCATGGCGAACAATGAGGACTGATGAGAAGCCAAGGTCAATGGCAAGGGGTTCTGATCCTACTTCATGTTCCGGCTTGGTGGGAGCCTAGCCAGTTTGGATGTTCTCCTTCCTAGACATGGACGGAGGGGGGAGGACCTTGGACTTTCCACAGGGCAGGGAACCATGACTGCTCTTTGGATTAGAGAGGAAGGGGGAGAGGAGTGTGGGGAGGGGGAGAAGAGTGGGGGGAGGGGGAGGGAAATGGGAGGCTGGGAGGAGGCGGAAACTTTTTTTTCTTATTCTCAATAAAAAAAAATACTATATTTTTCAGTTACATTAAATTTCCTATCACAATTAAGTTATCATTTAATTATATGAAATATTTCTATTTTTAAAACGTAAACACAGATATGTTTTAAATATATGTTGAGTCGAAATTTAAAAATGTAATAATAGCAAGCCGTATATCATATACTTATAAACCAAGTAGTCTATAAACTAAGACAGCGGACAAAGAATAAAGGTTAGCTTGTTCTGTGTAGCAATATGTTCTCCTTAAATCTTGCATTCACATATATATATGTATATGTGTGTATACATATATATTAATTCAAAGTATATACATTTATACGAAATAAAGTTTTCAGGAGTGTATATTTATATATGTGAATGAATATAAATATTTTATGAATGCAATTATATATATAATTTCTTCATATAGATTTATACTCATATATATTTGTCTCAAATGCATGCACTTATTACTGAACTATCTCTCCCCCATAAAGTTGCTCATAGTTAGGATTAGGTCCAGTAATTTTGATTCATATTCAATGATACATTTTCGATTAGGTATAAGGGATTTTAAACAATCTAAAGGAGTCTAATATTATTTTAGGCTCTACTAGTTGAGAGATCTCCCAGGTCAGACTTTGTTTCATCAGTTTCCTAGGTCCAAGTTATCTCTCTTGACCTCTATTTAATAATTTTAAGGCTTTCTTCATTCCTCATTTTTTTCTTTCTTTACCATGTATGAAATGCACATACATCTTGCAGTTGACAGACTCCATCATGATAGCATAGATAACAATCAGTGAACAAAAATGACAGTGTATTTTACTGCATCTTAGAATCAATAAACATGGTAAGTTGGTACCAAAATACATTGAAATTGGTTGTATTGTTCCTAATTTTTCCTTTTAAGAAACAGCTGATACTTGATGCTATTTTTTTTTTGAGTTACGACACTGCAATCTATTCACTAAAATATTTAATTGATCCTTTTTGTTCCCTTTTAGTTTCCTTTCAGTCAATTTTCCAGGTTACTTATTTAAGAGAAAATAAAACAAAATTATCCTGAAGGACAACACCTGATGGGAAAGGTAATGTCTATTTGCATTTATTATTCTTAGAAAGACGTTATCATTCATTTACCTTACTTTACTTAGGGCACCAATAGCAAAAAAGAAATGATTGCAATAATATCTAACTTGCTGAACCATTGAAATTGTTGAGTTTACTTACATGGGGTGGGTGAAGAGTTATAGGGGCATGGGTGATCCCAAGTGCTCATCACTGTACAATTATACCCCATTGTGGATGACAGCATCATGAAAACTGCAGACTGGAGCTCCCTTTCTGTACACATTCTTCTTTATCTGATATATTTTAGTATCTGCTAAGGTCACTTGAAGCTGAGATAAAACATGAGGGGATAAAGTATGAAATCCCATGCAAAAATTCTGGTACCTTCCCTTAATCCTCCTACTACAGATTGTCAATAGTTTCACCACTGTTATCATAGACCTTCTGTATATTTTGCATTGCTCATATCATTTAATTGTCATGGCTACTAGGCTAAGGTGGTCCAAACGATGAGGGGATGGTCAATAATACTGTACCCAGAGGGAAGAAAATCATACAGCAGTATTGCTCGATCACTACATCACTATACTCACTGAGTCAGAGAACATTAAATATGATACATTCAAATGTGTTTTCATAGTGCACCATATGAAATCATCTACCATATGCTTAGACAACACCTAACTGGGTGAACATCATTTCTGTACAATTTTTTAAACTTTAGAAGTCCTAACCCATTCAGGAAAATTTTTCATATGCATCCATATGACATTTGGTGGAGCTTTAGACAGCGAAGTTTATAATGGAGACTTTTGTGAGTGTCGTCTGGGCGTCTGCACATTCGTCTGGCAAAGCATCAGTTCTGCAGCCTCGGGCACTAGCTTGTCTTTCTTCCCATTGCTGTCAGTGGGGGAAATGAAAAACATTATATACACGATGTGGCCCTGGGTCTGCTTTATGTTCCGAACTCAGCGGCGTAAAAAGATGTGTTTGGGGAAATCTTCCTAGAAACTTAACATCAGTAGCAATGACAAGAATGCCATCCATTAGCCTACTTTTATTCATTTGTAGGAGAAAGCCAGGAATTGGAATTGGCAAGCCAATTTATGCCTTTTTCAACATTTACATCTCTGTATTTGAGGGAGATGGCAGCCCTCTCCATTTAGCACTGCTCAGAGTCCCTTGGGTATACCGCTGTCACGCTGCTGAGTCTCAATGCCTCGCAGTGTCTAGTCTTGCTAGCTCTAGTGTCGGGTGCTCTATCTCAGAGGACATGTACATGGTTGCATATGTTCACAACCTCGACATAAACACATAATATTGCCAAGTTTGAATGCAATAAGCACATACTAAACAAAGCAAAGCTGAATCATCTTTTCATACACAAAGCAAAGAAAATTGAATTACGTACGGTGTGATTCTGCTCTATGCGTATTTTGAATAGGCAACATTTAGAACTCATTTTAATCGTCCAGCTCTTTAGAAAGGTCACAGTCATTATATGTTTTTTCTTGGACTGTTTAATTCTTTGTTCCCATTTACAGGGCTGCCTTCATTAACATTCAGAAATAAAATGATAGAAAAATTCATGGACGTAGGCAGCCTTCAAAAGAGCAATTCTTGCAAAGCCTCAGTAAGATGCATAACCACCATAAAAATTAGGGAGACTTTAGTAGAATTTATTTTAAATTGTTGCTCGAAATCTTAAAACGTAGTTTGAGAGGAACACTGACATTGGCAAGGAATAAAGGAAAAGGGATACAGAAATGGCTACACAACCATTTTCTTCATTTGTATTAATTGTATTTGATCCTGACGTTTTGGTAAAAATTCAGGCAGCTCTCAAGGAATACACATTAACAAAGAGGATAAATAATAATTATTTCCTTCAAATTTAAAGTTCCCCCATTTTACGTCTTTGTTCATGAAACAGGTTTGAAGGAAAGCAAAGGCTAGCTCTTAAGCCAGCCAAACGTTTTACTCCCACCTTGTGGCGGTGAGAATGTATGGCCAGTTTCTCAAATATAAGCCATCAGAATTTTGGTGCAAAATGATTTTTCTCTTAACCACTGACCAAAATGGGATGGTTTGAGTCTGAATTTCATGATCTATTAAATCTGGAGGCCTATAGGCAGGACTCTCTCTCTCTCTCTCTCTCTCTCTCTCTCTCTCTCTCTCTCTCTCTCTTTCCCCTTCTCTTTGAGGCTGGGTTTCTCTATAGCTTTGGAGTCTGTCCTGGAACTGGCTTTGTAGACCAGGCAGGCCTCAAACTCGCAGAGATTTTCCTGTCTCTGCCACTGAGTGCTGGGATTCAAAGTGTGCACACCAACAAGCAAAGCAGCCAAGACTAACGCAAATGCCACTACAGAACAAATCGGGTTCCTTTGTTTCTTTGGACTTAGACATAAGAAGTAAAGAAAATTTATGAGTATCTACACAACAACAAGAATTCATAACAAAATCCAGAGAAAAAAATATTAAATATTTCCCCATGGCTGGAGAGATGGCTCAGGGGTCAAAGCACATACTGCTCATTCCGAAGACCTGAATTAGGTTCCCAGCACACATGTAAGTTGTCTTGCCAGCTTTGATATATCCAATGCCCTCTTGTGTTATCTCTAGGAACATGCACTCAAGTGCACAAGCCCACACACAGACACACAGATGCACACAAAGAAAAATAACCGTCTTGAAAATTATTTAGCAAGTCCTGTTTATGAATACAGCATATCTTCTTACGGGTCTTGATTTAAAATTAAGTGCAGAGGGAAAACCGTGACTCGAGTGATGCTGCCAGGCAATACTCTCTGCACAAGTCTCAGGAACATTGAACTCAACTACTCTTTAGGCTTTCCTTTTCCCTTTGGTGCATAGAGAAATGTAGAAAAGGTACATACACTCAGAACGCTAGAGAAATTACTAAAGACCTTTGCAATGCAAGTAATCTGTTTTTTCTTATCAGGTTATAATGCCATCCGTGGTGAGGCAGATCCACCGTACAATCCCACTATTAAAAGAGAAAGAGAAGGAAGAAAGCCTTCATAGAAATTTTTGGCATGCATGGTCAATGCTAAGAAATTTAACTGCAGTTCACCCTCCAGTGACGGGAACTCACCTTGATTATATCTTACCATCTGTGATTCTAAGAATCTTATGCCCTCACCCCTATGTGTGCTTTTATTTTTTTTTCCTTTTGTTCCATTTGTCATATTTCCCAATTCTGCTTCTTACTGGCTGGTCTGAAATTCTTTTCTGTGTTCAAACCACAAATCACTAGTTGGCTTAAGCTGATGTCCCTGAAACAAAAAGGGAAGTCCTTAGACAGCTAAGGAGTTGACAGAATAGAGCTATCTCCCTATGACAGAAAAGCTTTCATTTGATCTCTTAAAAATATTATTATTATTATTGTTGTTGTTGTTGTTGTTAATTATCACCCCAAAGTGTTCAACAGAATTCCTGTGTTGGATTCTCCTCATACATGGACTTTTACTTTCTCCTAACAGAGTTTAACATCCATTTTTTGTTTGAGAGGAACCGTTCAACGAGGATATAAGAGCATCTTCATTTTCTGATAAAGAGAATTTGGAACCCAGAGCCCTTCCCTCTCATTACATCTTATTCAGAGGCACAGATGCCTGGCTCTTTGTGCAACATCATCGTTGCTAGGTAATGTTGGGAGACACTTTCCC